AAATTTTATAATTATCAAAAATTAAAATTAGACAATATTTATTAAATTTTTAAATATATGAGAAATTAATAATTTTAAGATTAAATTTTAATAATTTTCAAAAAAAATGCATTTTTGAAATTTTTGTAATAAAATTGTATAGTTTTGAAATATATAATTAAATGATATTTTCGAAAATTTTAATGTCATATTGGTATATATTTATTTTAATGATGATTTATTAGTTATTACCATATTTTAAAAATATTTCCAAAAATATAGATCGACATTAAATGTAATATATGAGTTGTTACCATATTCTATAAAGTTTTTCAAAAATATATATTAAAATTAAATGTAATTGTCCATGTCATATTTAATCATATGCCATGTCATCAATTCTTGTACACATGTCATCATTTTTTTGTGAAACTGATTCTAGAGAGGACATGTGGCAAAATCACTTCACAATTCTAAGAGTACCTCAACTTGCAATCTCTTCTGGTGGGATCTCAAGGTCAAGGTTAAGGTTATCATTATAGTTATGTTTCGTTTATGTTTTTAGTTCTTTTATGGTTTCATATGTTTTTGCACAGGTGGGACTGTAAATCTTATACAATAAAACTAACTTTTCTCCCTTCTCATGCTGCCACATCAGCAAAGAGCATGGGGCAAAAAAAGACACCTCGGCAATTACTCATTGAAATTGACCCAGAAAAATTAAGTCTTTGCGTCTTGGTTTGTAGTAGGTTTATTATACCGGTTCAATGTTAGATGTTGAGCTAGAGATTAGTTAAAGGCCCACCTTTCTCTAGAATCGTCCACGTCAGCAAGAGAGAGGTGGGCGTTTTTTTGTGACACATTCATATTAGTTCCAGAAAATGTGTAAAATATTCAAATTTAATGAATTATCTTTTCTTTACACTTTTCCATGAACAAAATAAGATATTTTCGTTTTTTTTTTGTAATTCCTTCATATTTGATATGTTACTAGGTGGCTTCCTGCACCATGTGCAGAAATAAAAGTTTTAAAAATAAATTTACATTTAAAAATAAAATTTAATTAATTTTTTAAATTTATTATTTTATTACATTATTAATTTTACATTAATTATATGTAAAAATTAAGAGAAAAAACAATTTTCTTTGAATATATGATAATTCTCTCAAATAGAACTTTTTAAGGTTTTTTCACAAAAGTAGATTTTAAAACTAAAATGACCCAAACAGCATTTTTTATTTTGAAAATTTCATTTTTTTTAAAAAAAAGTTTGTAATCCTATCCCCAAAACCCCACTCCTCAACTTTAAACAAAAAGGTTTACGATTAGTTAACCCAAAGGATATAAGTGTATATTTACTTATTTTTGATAAAACATTTAAGTCTATTTTGGTCATTTTTATTTTAAGATCTATATTTGTGATTAAAACATTTTTTTAGGTCTATCCGAAAAAAATTTCTTAAATTTATATTTAATAATATATGTATCTTTTATCTTTTGGTTAAATTATATTAAATCAGATTCTATACTATTAAGAGAAAATTTTGTTAGATATATAATTATCAAAATATAAAACTAAAAAATATTTCTAAAATTTAAAAATGTTATAAATAAAGCTAATGGTACTGGGATTATAAAGTTTTAATTTAAAAAAAAACTGCATAAAATTTTGAAAAAAAATATTTATAAAAATATATAATTATAAAAATACACTTAAAAATATTTCAATATTTGTAAATTTATGATATTTATATTTCTACTATTATATTATTTATTATCTTAATGATAATTTATGAGTTATTTTCCTTATCACTATTTTAATACAAATTTTTGTTTAATCAAACATAAAAAGTAATATAAAAATATTTTTGTTTATTTTAAATTATATTTAAGAATATGCATGTATATATTTAAAATTATAATCTTAGATAATTTTTTATATATTTATTTTAATTAAATATATTAAATAAATTTGTAGACAATTTTATAATTATCAAAAATTAAAATTAGACAATATTTATTAAATTTTTAAATATATGAGAAATTAATAATTTTAAGATTAAATTTTAATAATTTTCAAAAAAATGCATTTTTGAAATTTTTGTAATAAAATTGTATAGTTTTGAAATATATAATTAAATGATATTTTCGAAAATTTTAATGTCATATTGGTATATATTTATTTTAATGATGATTTATTAGTTATTACCATATTTTAAAAATATTTCCAAAAATATAGATCGACATTAAATGTAATATATGAGTTGTTACCATATTCTATAAATTTTTCCAAAAATATATATTAAAATTAAATGTAATTGTCCATGTCATATTTAATCATATGCCATGTCATCAATTCTTGTAGACATGTCATCATTTTTTTGTGAAACTGATTCTAGAGAGGACATGTGGCAAAATCACTTCACAAATAATGTAAAGGGGATATTAACTTCACATTTTTATAACAACAACAAGTATTTCTTTCCCGGTAAAATTACGACCTTTTTGCCGGTAAAATTACAAATTATTTCTTTGAGAATCTGCTAAAACTTTTTTTTATAAGCTTTTTTAAGAAAGAGTATCAAACAAACCATACATATATTTTTTTTTCTTAACTTTAGAGTTAGTTAAATAAAATGAAACTACTCAAAATTTGATAAGTTTATAGATAAATGAGTAATAGTTGTATTTTAAGATATTTTTAGTTACACATATGAAAGTTTCTGTTTAAAAATCATCTTTTACACCAACATTTCAAGATATATGTAAAATAGTGGGACCCCAAAACGATGTACAATCGTCTGTGAACATTTACTTCGCTTAATGACCATTAGGATTTTATGGTTTCATATGTTTTTGCACAGGTGGGACTGTAAATTCTAAGAGTACCTCAACTTGCAATCTCTTCTGGTGGGATCTCAAGGTCAAGGTTATCATTATAGTTATGTTTCGTTTATGTTTTTAGTTCTTTAATCTGAAAATTGTAGTGTCACCTCTTGAAATCTACTCCATCGTCCATTAGCATGTTTTAATGTTGATATACAACATTAATCTCACTTTAGGAAAATTATATAGTAACTAAGTTTGGAAAGTAACTTATAATCGGTTATGATTACACTTCGTCTTCATGTCTTCTCTGATATAACTTATTACTTACAAATATTAATTCAATTTGAGTTCACTATGATCTGAAAAAGGTACTAATCAGAGTTGGTGTAACCTTTAGATATGAGTGTACATGTTTGTAAATATTTCAACAATAATTCACAAAACTCAATTACTAAAATATTAAAAATTGAATAAATTTCATTATAAATTGGAAATCTAATATAAACTGAAAAACATATATTATAAAACATAATTTATTGTTAAATAAAATATATTAATTATTATCTATGACATTATTGAAACTATTTATATAGTACTTTAAAATATACATTTTTACAGTTTATCACATTACATTATATTTCAATTAATTTGGCTTGAAGATGGATTGATTAATTATCGGGAGAAAATTATAAATATAATTGTATTAAATTTAGAAACTCTTAGAAAAAAAGTTATTTTAACTTTTGAATTTTCTTCAACTATATCAAATTGAAATAAAAATAAAAAGAAGAAATATAAATTATTACATTTTCCTTAATTTTGTTTATTTAATAATCTTGTGTTCACTAAAAAATCATTTTTCTCAGAAAATTTAATAAAATTTACAGTATCATCTTTGCAGAAAAAAATTTATTATCTTATTATAAAGTAAATTTTCAAATGTTTTATAAAATTAAAATATATTTTAACATAAAATATATTTAGTGTAAACACACCCGCCTGTAGGGCGGGCCAACCACTAGTCTAATACTATAAAGTAGCATTTTCTCACTCGAGAGAGTGTTATGTCACTAATAGAAGAGTTGTTGTCGTGACATCTGGCAATATACAAAACACAACGTTTTGTTTTATTTCCGTTTGGGCTTTTATTGTGTCACGGGCCTTCAAAATTAGATCCGGTCCACTCTCTTCAAATCCTAACTCATTCACACGAATTAGTGTTCTCCTCCTCTAGCTTTCTTGCCGTCGAGTTTGATCTTCTGAAGTTTCATGGCGTCGTTTGATTTTTCTAACGTTGAGAACATTGATCATATCATTTACTCTCCTACCACGATCTCATCTTCGATTCATCGATTGCTTCTTAGAGTCGGCGAGATTCACTGTATAAATAGGTATGCAAACAATTTTGAGAGATATGAATCGTCGTGAAGAATCACTGTCTCAGGCTTCTACTGCGCCGTTTCTCCATTGACGCAAATTAAGCACGACGTCCATTCAATAATTCTCATCCATCATCTAGGTGGTGTTTCTTTACCTATGAAAGAGTAAGCCTTCTCCCTTTGAACACTATTCTCACATTTCGTGATAATCTGAAAAACAAATTCCAGTATCGTTGCTAACTCATTTGTTCATTAGTTCGAGTTAATGGGGGTTGACATGCTCCTCCGAAGGTTTGACCATTCTTAAATCTCATGATCATATTAGTTTTCGATTATTTTTAGCATTCACATTCATATATAGATCTTCATTGAACCTTTTTTTCAAATGAGATATTTTAAACCCGTTTGTTGAGGCAAAACTTACTGCAGATGTACCGTATAATCAATGAAAGAAGTAAGAGATCCCTGCATTCACCATGAAATCTGTGGAGTTTTGGTTCTACTTTCTGCTTTAACATCAGGTATATGCGATCTGGTATAATCTCATTGCTCTTCATATTTTCCAAAAACCGATACCTTTGCAATCAATCAATCTGATCTCCTTTGCTTTATGCCGTGTCTCTCATATTCAGTTTATGCGAAGAAGTCAGCTGATGTGTGTTTGATCCAAAAATGGTGTTTTTGCTGGTGTTTATTTGAATCATAACAATAAAAGATCTAATGATATAAAACTTAGATCTTTGAGGCTTAGAAGATATAATCAAAGAAATCAAAACAGAAATAGAAAGAACATCCAAGATTTTATTGATAAAAGATTGTATTACCGAGATCATTTGGAATATAAATGAATCTAAAATCAATCAAATCCTTGTAGGAAGTGTTCTTGATCTAAAAAGTAAAGAAGATCCTTCCTAAAGAGGAAGTAACTCCTTATTTATAGAAAGGAGAGACCTAGGGCTTCCTAATGACATGGGCCCAATTCATTGTCTAATGGGCCTCGGGAAAGATGTGAATCCACCCCCAACAGTAAGTCCCCCCAAGTTCATAGAGAGAGACGAAGTCGATCTCTGTGAATTTTATGAATAGGGTTTATTAGACAATGAATTAGACACATTCATGCCTGTGACGGTTTAGGCGAGTTTACTTTGAACTTGTGCCTAGTAAAAGGCGAGTTTGCTTTGAACTCGTGCTTAATGAAAGACAAGTTTACTAGACTCATGCCGAGACAAAGGAGAGTTTACTGAACTCGTGCCTAGTAGAAGGAGAGATTATGTAAACTCGTGCCTAGCCAAGGATGAGTTTTTGTAAACTCGTGTCCAACAATAAGCGAGTCGATTGCAAACTCGTGCCTAATATACAAGTTTACCGAACTATTGCTGACCCGAAGTCTCGTGTTGAGATCGTTGTATGTCGAGCAAGTTGTTGGTTTGTATGTTCGTCAGGCTATGATGATGTCGAGAAACGCGCTAGCTTGTGCCGCTTGTGATGAGCTCGTAGCTGAGAGTCTTCGAAGCACGAGGTTATGATGGTGGCAACCATGTGTTGATTCCCTTTGGCTCAGCGATCATAGTGACTCTAGCCAAGCTGGTGTAGTTATTTCTTATCCAAGCCGAGCTCAACGGGTTTGTCTAGAGCTTGTGCCGGTTGCGGCAAGCTCGTTGTGATGATCTGAGCTTGTCACTCTTGACGCAGGTCACATGTCTGCTTATCGATTGCAGAAAACATGAATATGCCGAGATGGTTCGTCTCTAGCCTCCGGACGTCGTTGTGACGAGGTGACTTGAGGACTTTGCATTGTTCTTGGCTCTGATTTTTCTTTTTGGATTAACACTGGCAATTGATTCTGTCTCACAAAAAAGAAACATGATGATGATCAGATCAAGGTTAGCAAAAAGTAATCGGTAAGCTTTGTATAATTGACAAGCAAGTTTTAATGTTTATGAGTCGCAAACAGTAGTAATAATTAATTAATATACTAAGCAGGTTGCACAGGTCACGAACAATAAAACAAGCAACACTGAGTTATCACATAAAATTAAATATACAGTATGAAACACTTATCTTTGATGATCATCGTGAGTTGTTGGAGAAGAAAGTTATTCCTTTTTTTTTTCTTTTTTTTTGTAGTAGATGAGCATGAGTTGACCATGAAGAGACAACGTGCTGGTCATGTCCTCTGTTTTCTTCTGTTTCTTTTGGAGCTTGAATCAGAGCTTGGAGCAGTCGACAATGAGGAGCCGTCTCGTGTACGGAAAGAGAGGCATGTCTGAGCTCTTCTTCCACGCAGTCCCTTCTTGTTGTTTCTCCAGAATGGCTTCATTTTAGACATCTGAGAAGCGAGGCTGAGCTTGATCAGAGAAGCCAGGCTTCGTTGGTAGTCCCCTGCGGATGAAAGTCCTCAACTTTTTTGACATGGTGATGAGCTTTGCCTATCACAGAACAAGCCGGCAAATAGAATCAAGAGCTTTAAAGGAGTGTGATGGGATTTTCGTCATTGATTCAGAAGCTGGTGGCAAGATTATGCCAAGACAAATGTGACGAGATAAAAAGATGCTCTCAATCCCTTGGTGATCTCAAGTCAAGCTGACAAGTTGACTTGGCTATAGTTGGAGAAGCACATAAGCTCGTAAAGTCTCGTGAACCTGGTCTGAATCTAAAAGCTTCAGCCTTTATCAACCTCAGAGCTTTAGTGCTTCTCACAAAGACATGAACTCGCTCTCTCTCGATAGCAAATCGCGGCACAAGATCGAGAGGTGCAGCAGGAGGCCAATGTCGCCATTGCTTTGGTACCAAAGCTGATGTCTTTATCTAAGCTCAAGACTTGTTCTCAGCTAGCTATCGTCATCCTTCTCATCACCGTTGTTGTGATTGCCATGTGAGAACTCATCTAGTAGTGACGTTTCTTCCTTGCATCTCGCCATGAGATTACTCCCGTCCAGTCTTGAAGCTTCAAGAGTCTTCTTCACAAACTCATGAAGAAGCTCTGAGTCAATTCGTCGAACAACTGGTGTGCAGATCCAAAATCGAGAAATTTTGGGGAAAGCTTCAAGATATGTGACGAAAAGCTTCAAGACAACGCAATGAGTAACAGAGCTTGGAGTCGGCGAGCAGCTTCCGTCGGTGGAGCTTTTCTCGGCAAGAAGAAACCCAACTTCTTTGTTTACTCGGGCTGTGAATACTATTGGGTCCTGTGTGGGCCTCATCAAGCTTTCACGTGACCCAACCAATTTTTTAGGATACGTGAACCAACAAATTTTGCGGCGTCTCTCCTATGTCCTTGGCTCTGGAATCGAGCGAATCCTCTCCTCATCTCTGTCGACACGTTTAAAGCTCCTGCCTCGGAGTGGACAGATCAATCTTCTTCTACCGCCTGAAGATGACAAGATGAAGCTCGGTCAGGATTCTCAAGAGAACTACGACGTCACCGTTTCTTGTGCCGACATGGTGGTTGTGGTGAGCTCGTTGTCGGGATCTTCTCTGGGGACGAGATGATTACCGGAGTGGAAGAGGGAAGAGTCGATATTAACTCTTGATTTTTTTTTTTTTTTTTTTAGATCTAGGGCCCTTCTCAAGTTTGATATGCTTTGAAGATTATTCTTCTTAGCCCCTCCTTCTAGCGCCAACTGTTTGATCCAAAAATGGTATTTTTGCTGGTGTTTATTTGAATCATAACAATATAAGATCTAATGATATAAAACTTAGATCTTTGAGGCTTAGAAGATATAATCAAAGAAATCAAATGAGAAATAGAAAGAACATCCAAGATTTTATTGATAAAAGATTGTATTACCGAGATCATTTGGAATATAAATGAATCTAAAATCAATCAAATCCTTGTAGGAAGTGTTCTTGATCTAAAAAGTAAAGAAGATCCTTCCTAAAGAGGAAGTAACTCCTTATTTATAGAAAGGAGAGGCCTAGGCTTCCTAATGACATGGACCCAATTCATTGTCTAATGGGCCTCGGGAAAGATGTGAATCCACCCCCAACAGTAAGTCCACCGTGGGGCATACGAAATTGTGTGACGAACATGCCGAACGACGAAGAAGACTCTCCTACACAGCCAGAGGAAACTCCAGCTGTCCCGACTCTCGAGAATTTCATGGACTCCGTCATGGCCCGTCTCGCTCAGCAAGACGAAGCCCAGAAGGAGACTAACGCTCAACTTGCGGCTATCGCTGCCATCTTTTCACCTCCGGAAGGAGCGGCTCGCGACATGGCTTCGGTCCGCCGCTTCCTCTTCAATACCAACCCTACACCAACGCCAGCGAACCAGCCGCTGCACCCTGAAGATACCCCGACGGACGCTCCCGTTCAGCAAGTTGGCGATTCCGACTCTCAAACCGCACGGGAAATCGCTGAACTCAAACTGTCGCTCCAAACCATAACTTCTCAGATCCATCACGCCACCAGCGCCGCACCGCAGATAGACCGCGTCTTGGCAGAGTCGCTGCGGACTCCTTTCACCGCGCGAATAAGCGGCGTCAAGATCCGTCTGACAGAGAAACTTCGACTCCCTACCTACGCCGGCGAAAGCGACCCAACAGATCATGTAACCGCCTTCAACATAGTAATGGGGAGGTCCCGTTTTGCTGACGAGGAAAGGGATGCCGGATTCTGTCAGCTCTTCGTCGAAAGTCTCACCGGACCAGCGCTGACGTGGTTCTCTCGGCTGACTGAAAACTCCATTGATAGCTTCCACGACCTATCTTCGGCATTCTTAAAACATTACATCATGTTCACTCGCCAGGGAGCTACGGCCTCCGATCTGTGGAAGATGTCGCAAACTTCCGGACAAAGCCTCAAGGAGTTCATGGGAAAATTCAAAACCCTGGCTTCCAAAGTCAACGCTCCAGATAGCATGGATGTCGAAGCGCTTCAGAACACACTTTATGTACACTCGCCGTTCCGCCAAGACCTCTACCGGAGCCCGACCACGTCACTAGAAGATGCTATCGCCCGCTCCCATAATTTTATCCGTATGGAAGAAGACACTCGCAAAATCCTTAACAAACGGAATCCAGATAAACCGGGAACCACAAAGAGTCGCGACTCCCGACAAGATCCGCGACAAGAACCCCGACAACACTCCTCTGGAGATCGCAGTGATAGGAAGAAAGGGTATATCTACCACGTTGAAGGCGATGAATCCCCTCCGTCAACCGTCGTTGTTCGGGGAAAGGGTTGGAATCACTATTACCGAGAAGACGGCGACGCCAAATCACCATCCGGTTCCCGATCTCCCAGGCGAACCGAGACAAATAAATTCTGTAAATATCACAATACCAAGAGCCATGATACGAAAGATTGCAGGCACCTCGGCGAGCATCTTATCGCCAAATACGCGGCAGGGCAGATAGAAGCCGAACCACCAAAGCCGAGGACTAACGTTGAAAAGAGCTGGAGCAAGAACAAAGATAAAAGGACTAAGAAGCCAACCGATAAGTCCCGGCGCGAGGAAGAAAACCGCCCAGGCGCGTCCGATGACGAGAACGCGACAGAACACCCTCGCGGCGAGCAAGAACCAGATGACGCGCAACCAAAAAGTAGGAAGCGAATTCAAGTCATCCTCGCGCAGGGAGACCAGTCCTCGGACGACGATTCAGGATCTTCGGATCTCCGGGCATATCTTAACTCCCGTCGTCAGGAAAGAGGGGTTGATGACCTTCGCGAACACATCAACTTGAAGAGAGCGCGCAGACAAAACGGTACAACATCTGTCATAACCGATCTTCGCCAACAAACCACCACAGATCTAAGGCACATGTTGGAGAAGGCAAAAGCACCTGACTTGCGACAGTTACTCGACAGGAAGAAAGTTCCCCAAGCTAAGTCTCCAGAGAGAGCACGGTTGAATGTCATTATGGGTGGATCCTCCCCATGCGGAGATTCGGTCCGATCGGTCAAAGCTCACCAACGACAAGCGATAACTTCGCAGAAATGGCCATCCAAGCCAGAAGATAGCCCGCCAATCACTTTCACGCCAGCAGACGCTGTTGGCGTACACGTGCCGCATAACGATCCGTTGTTAGTCGAACTCGGAATTGGCGAGTGCGAGGTCACGAAAGTCCTAATTGATACGGGCAGTTCTGTGGATCTCATTTTTCTGAACACGCTCGAAAAGATGGAGATCGATCTCAAGAACCTAAAACCCTCCAACCGGACACTCACAGGATTTAACGGCGTTTCTGAAGAAATGATCGGAACCATTCGACTCCCCGTATACGCGGGCGGCGTGACCAAAACCGTGAAGTTCTCAGTGATAAATACTGTGGCACCGTATCATGTCATACTCGGGACGCCATGGCTCCACGCAATGAAGGCAGTTTCTTCAACCCTGCATCAATGTGTGAAATTCCCGGGGAATGATGGTCGGATCCGAACTCTGCGAGGTGATCAACAAGCAGCGCGCGAATTATTGGTCGCAGCTGTGAAGCTCCGTCCGGATAATTCGCATATTAACGTCGTAGCTAAGCCAATACACAAGATCTATCCACAGAAAGAGGAAGTCATTGAAGTAATCCTCGATGAAAGCGATCCGACTAGAGTAGTTCGAATCGGCGCTTACCTACTAGACGACAGGAAAGACAGTATCATCGCCTTCCTCCGGGAAAACGCTTCTACATTTGCCTGGACTACGTCCGATATGAAAGGAATTGATCCGATGATCACCACCCACAAGCTCCACGTAGATCCGACCTTCAAACCAGTAAAGCAGAAACGCCGTCGCCTCGGCCCGGAACGAGCAAAAGCAGTTAATGATGAGGTCGACCGACTGCTGGACGCCGGATCAATCATCGAAGTACAGTATCCGGAATGGCTCGCTAATCCCGTTGTCGTCAAAAAGAAAAGCGGGAAATGGCGAGTCTGCGTAGATTTCACCGACCTCAACAAAGCCTGCCCAAAAGATGTGAATCCACCCCCAACAATGTGATAGAGTTGCAGATTGGTGTCAAGGTATGCTGAAAATCTCTTGCACATCGTCAAAGTTTGGAAGAAATTGGTACTAAGTTCCATGGTGAATTTGATCTCTCAATCTACGTGATTGGAAGATGACTCAGCACTACATTATTCATTTTTACAATTCAAGCCTCAGAAAAATGTGATGTTCAAACTCACAAAGGAGACATATCAAGGTCCACTATCGGTAAGTGTTATTAAATATTTTTGTTATGATAAGCAGTAAGTAAGATAAAGTAGTCAACTAATAGTTTGTTCAATTATTGGGTTCAACGGGCAGTAAAGACTGACGCCCCTGATTACATATTTTACTGATCAGTCTATGCTGAATCTGTTTGTTTTCTATCTTATTTCATTATGTAAACAAGTTAAGAAAGTATAGAAAAAAGTTAGAGAGAGAGAGAGAAAAGCGTTGCAATCAGTCTCTTTATTTTGAATCAGTCTTGCAATGCCAAGTAAGTACGAGACAGAGCTGCGTTACGACACGAATGTTACGGGTTGATAAGTTATGCTCACATCAGGGATTGGTCGGGAATAAGTTATGCTGAATCTGTTTGTTTTTGTGGTTTCCGGTTAAAGGAATCAGAATTAACGTGGCTCTGGTCTTATATACTTCGACATTGGTGTTGTTGTTCGCAAGTAGTACTCACGCTTCTTTCTGTTCGATACTTCGAGAGATTGTGTTGCTGTTCGTGATGAAAAATGAGGTATTGTTTATTATTAAGATTGCCTAGAGAATGTTTGAGTATTGGTCTTTCTCTCATATTAATTTCTTTGTAAGTAACTCAGATGTGTTTTTACGATGAAGTTTATGAAAAGTGTACCCACCCAAATGAAGATAACTCAATGCTATCAGAAGTCAATGGTAAAATATGAGTTTACACTATGTTTCATCAAATATAGCAATAGACTATTACAGCTATGTGCTTAGTGGAGAAGACTACTCTCCTTTGTAGTGAAATTAAATTATAGTTACAAATGAAAGAAATACCATTATTAAATGATTAACCCAGTTTATTTAAAAATCAATGTAAGATGACATTCGAATAAATATGCATTTGAAATTTACATGCTAAGTTATGTCTGTACAAATGACGTAGTACACTGTTTTTAGCCTACCGGTTGTGTTCAGGTTACCAAATGGTTGTAGCAAAACTTATAATAAAAAAGACAACACTGTTTTTAGCCTACCGGTTGTGTTCAGGTTACCAAATGGTTGTAGCAAAACTTATAATAAAAAAGACAAGAAGGTTGTAGAAGTTGAAGGCTGCGACAATATTTAGAAAAGAAGATTATTCAGGATTGACAATAGAATGAAGGATAGGACATTCAAAACAAGAGAAAACGAGCTAAAAAGATACAAAAAGCTAAAACGAGCCAAAAAGTGATCCTCAATGCATGACAACAAAAAAGATACGAGTGATCACATTATTCAAGGATGACGACAACAGTGCATTTGAAACGTGTAGAATTTGGTATACGGGTGATTTTTCTTATTTCTCTATACAAACATGTGTATACAAATAAGGACAATCACATTATAACGTGGTGGTGATCGTTAAAATTCCAAGGGCCAATAGTAAAGTTAAACCGTGGCCCAATATATAAATGAGGAAAGATGAGGCCTGATTCAGGTGACACGTGGTAACAACCGCCGATAGAGAAGGAAACTGACGTGGCGAATCTGTGGTAATTGGATATAGGGATTATTACTTTCCTCTCCGCAACGAACGGTTACGAGTTTCTCCTTCTCTGTGATCTGATGGCGCAAGACGATCAATCGGCGGCGAGATCCACCGGAACGGTTAACTGGTTCAGCGATACGAAAGGCTACGGTTTCATCGCTCCAGATGATGGCGGAGAAGAACTCTTCGTTCATCAGTCTTCAATCCTCTCCGATGGTTTCCGAACCTTGACTGTTGATGAACCGGTTGAGTACGCGATCGCGGTTGGAAACGACGGAAAGACCAAGGCCGTCGATGTCACTGCTCCTGGCGGCGGATCTCTCAACAAGAAGGAAATGAACTCTGGCGGAAACGGCGGTGGTTGTTTCAGTTGCGGCGAGGTTGGCCACATGGCGAAGGATTGCGTCGGCGGTCGCAGATCCGGTGGCGAAGGTTCTTGCTACGTGTGCGGCAATGTAGGACACTTCGCTAGGGATTGTAGGCAGAACGGCGGTGGAAACAGTGGTGGTGGCGGAGGTGAGTGTTACAGTTGCGGAGAGGTTGGTCATATGGCGAAGGATTGTCGTGGTGGGAACAGATACGGTGGTGGTGGTCGTGGATCTGGCGGTGATGGATGCTACACGTGTGGTGGTGTGGGACATTTCGCTAGGGATTGCAGGGCAAATGTCGGAGGTGGAAACACTTGCTATACATGTGGTGGAGTCGGCCACGTGGCGAGAGTTTGCACAAGCAAGAGACCGTCTGGTGGTTGCTACGAGTGTGGAGGCATTGGCCATTTGGCTCGTGACTGTGATCGTAGAGGAAGAGGTGGCAAGTGTTTCACATGTGGCGAGGAAGGTCACTTTGCAAGGGACTGCTCTTCACTTGCTTAACAATAAAGAAAAGTAATGTTCATAAACTTCTTTGTCTTCAAATTGGTTTTCTGATGTTTACTATTCAACAGGTGACTTTAACTTGATAGCTAGAGTTGTTTCGGTTGATGGTTTGGAATGTTTCTTGGGAGTCTAAGATCTCTATATTGCTCGTATATGACACGTTCTTGAATACCTATTCACTGCTTTTGTTGATGCTATAACCCATAAGTTTGTAACCTTGAATGATATGTGTGATTTGCTTATGTTGAAGTTTCTATCTCTTTCTTTACAATTGGTGTGATGTGATAGAGAGCTTGTTCTTAACAAGTTTTCTGATTTGGTTTTGCTTCATAAAGGTTACCATATTCCTCCTATTGCACTGCTGTTTCCCTACTCTTCGCTGAAACTAAAATTAGCTAAAGGATAATCTCGTCGGTGAAAGGGATAAGTAAAAGCTATTTTGATATCCACATTCCTTAGTTCTTGGTTTCTTTCAGTGATTCTTCTTTGATCTTTTCCTGTTTAAAGTATCATTTAAACTTTTAATTAGCCCAGTCCAGAAGTTTGAGACATTTACAGTAAGCAACTATCTTGAATAATTCTGCTGGCTGTGAATCCATGTCCTTAACCTCAGACCAACGATAGAAAATGGTGGTTTGAGGAAAACTAAAGAGCTCTCCAACGAGTTGATAATTACTCAGCCGAGAAAGCTCAACGACTCAATTTGTGTAAAACCGAATACCGTACGTTTATACAAAACAGTCAAGTAGCAAATTGCTAAGGGCACTCGTAACATGTAAGGAACTAACCGAGTTGATATATTTTTAGGGAAATTGCCGAAAGAGCACAAAAAAGCACAACTATTGTATCTTTCGAATAAAATCAATTTTTTGTCATTTTTGGACTTCCAATATCTTTTTGTATAAAAAAATTCATAAAAATAAATTTACAAGGCAAAAAATTGAGAAAAAATAAATTATGAAATAGAGTAGCATATGAAAAAATATTTTTAGATTCAAAAAATGTTTGGAATAGTAATTTCAAAAATAGGATAAATGAGATAGTAAATCAGATCTATCATCTATGATTGTTTAGAACGTGTAACATATTGATCTAAAGGGTTTAGAATGCATAATACACTAAAAACATATACATCTATGAATGAAGAATATGATATCTACCTTTCATTCTTTGTTCTGAAGTTTTACTAGAAAATAACATATACGAAAGATTTACGCGTCTACTTTGGTAGAATATATCTTTTTAATTTTAATATTTTATCTGGGCCCGTAGATTATGTATCTATTGGTTAAACTATTTGGTAAATTTGGTAGAATGTATCTTCTACCAACGGTTTGCCACCATCCGAAAATTTACCAAAATCTAAAGAATATTGGTTAGTAAATATTCTCTACATATTTTTATTTTCTTTTTTAATATTTTTACCTTGAACGTAGGTCTTTTTCTTCTTCCCATCGTGAACAAAACATCTTCTTCTAGTTCTTCCACTTCCAAACTAGTATCTATCTTACAATGAAGATGTACATCTATACTTCTTCTGGTTCGTGAAAATCGTCCGTAAGCAAATGGATGAAGATTTGTTGTTGATGAAGGAAAAGGAGGTAGGTTACAAACTGTGGACACAAGTTCATCTTTTCAACACCTAAAATTGATCTTGTGTGAAGACTTTGGAATTGATCTAGACATGGTCAATATCGAGCTGAGTTACTTACCTTCGGATTTGATGAATAACATCAACTCACCACCTGTTTTCATCACCAAGGATAGGAAACTCAAAAAAAATCTTACATATCTAAAGATCAGAGCTTCGACGTGGTTATGTGTGTGTGTTCGATCTAAGCTGGAGACAAGGAATATCAACATAGAATTTTACTTGAATGAAGAAGGCGCTACTGAGTCGCCAAAGAGAGAGGAAGAGCATGTGGCGCATGGTATTGATGGTGAAACCATGGTTGAAGAAGAAGAAGATGATTAGCTAGAGGAAAAGAATGACCAAGACATGATCAATGGAAAGCCTGTCCGATTTTCTTTGGTTGGTGTTGTGAAGAAGGGTCAACATTTTACTAGCAAACTGGCTTTGAAGGCGACACTAGAAATATGCGCAATGAAACACAATTTTGACTACAAGCTTGCCAAATCAATCAAAAAGTTTGGTACATTCGTTGTGCAGATGATGATTGCAGCTGGCGTGTTCGTGCATGAGGATTAACAGTGTCTTTATATTTTATTATCAGAAAGTATGTACTTGATCATACATGTGCTCCATCATCAAAGAACAATTTTGTCCGCACAGCTTCAGCAAAAACAGTTGGTTCCCTCGTAATGCACAAGTATGAAAGCGTTAAGGAAGGACCGAAACCTAATGACATCATCAGCTATATGCGTTCTGAGCATGGAGTTGAGGTATCCTACTCTTTAACATGGGATGCCAGTGAGTATGCAATAGCCATAGCGAGAGATATTCCTGAGCAACGTTATGCAAAAAATTCCCAAATACTTGCACATAATGAAAGAAGCTAATCCAGGAACACACACACGGCTTATGGAACTGATACCAATGGGAGATTCAAACCAAAACTCGTGAAGCTTAGAAACCTTTAGCTGCTTGCATATGAAGCTGTGAACAATCTTCCCTGAGTAAATGAGCGTGTTATCATTGATTGCCAGAAGCGGACGAAAGACAGGGTCTTTCTGCACTTCCTCGTACTCATCCTTGAGAGCAACCTTCAGTATATCAAGAATCGTACATCTACATGTGTTGTTAATCTTATCAATCTGATGCTCAATGCCTTCTTCGAAAATGCGTTTTGTATACTCGTAAGTCATGCATGTAAACAATGAGATCAAATAACATAATAGTTAGTATCAATTGAAACACTAAATAAAACCTAACTCTTAACAGTAACTTAATTGATCGTCTTTACGTGTGAAATTGTACACAAAAGAATCACAAAAATGTATACATTGTGAGCTATTCAGTTCAAATAACAAAGCTAATCCCAAACAACCAGTAAAATCGTACTCTTTTACATGTCAAACATAAACTTGAAAATAGTTGAGTTTCTAAGCCATTCAGTGTTTTACTAATACATGCACATCAACACAATGTAAAAAAAAAAAAATATCGAAAAGGAGATCCTAAAACCTAACCTTCAGTTTTGGGAAAAGATGAAAATAGTTGAAAATAATTGAGTTTCTAAGCCATTCAGTGTTTTACTAATACATGCACATCAACAAAATGTAAAAAAAAATCAATATTAAAAAGGAGATCTCAAAACCTAACCTTCAATTTTTGGAAAAGATGAACCGAGATGAAAATTGAACTCCAACTTGTTCTTAATCAGTGATGAAAGCTTTGTCCGCCTCGTGCCAATACCGATTCATACTGTCGAAGATAACAATGTCACTTAGGATTCATTGACAAAATAAACTCAGAGAAAACAAGAGAGGATGCAACAGAAAATACGAGAGGAAAGAGGACGGAGGAAAGGATAGATGGATTCGCCGACGAACGCGCCGGAGAGAACACGTCTTCTGGCAACAACTATCACCTTCTCGAGCTTCGATAAACACGAGGGGTTGTATTTTGGGATTTAGGAATTTTATCCCCTTTTTAATTAAAACCATATTTAGGGAAATTTTTAATTAGTATTTATATATTTATATTTTAATTATATTCAAAAATCTAAATACTAAGGAATAAAGTGGATTTTCATTATAGTTTATTTTAAGGGGACATGAAATATTAAGTTCATTCTAAAAGAACAATAGTTGTGCTCTTTTTTTTTGACAACAAAAGGCTGATCTATTACTCAAGCTTGAGGTGGTCTGGGAATCCAGACCGGAATAGAACAACCAACAAACATCAGCTCACGATAGAAAGATCGGGCAGTCTTAGCTAAATGATCGGACACAACATTTCGAGACCTAGGCACATAAACTATATTGAAGTCTGGGAAACAAATCCTCAGCGTCAAGAGCCTCTCCAGTTCCGTTGAAAAGCTTGGACATTCATGGGGGTTCAAGAGCATCGCTATCAACTCCTTGCAGTCCGTCCCAAAGCTCTGACATGGCGAATGTTGAAGCATATTCTCCATTGCCCACCGCAGTGCTTACAGCTCCGAGTGCAAAGCCGACTCCACCCTACTAACATTACGCAAACCCATCAGTTGAGTATTTCCCGTGTTATCCTTCCATTCCCAGCCACATCCCGAGAATTGATCTATAGAGGTCCAAGAACCGTCTATCATGCAAATATCTCGTAGGCATATGACCTGACGTTCAGCATCTCCTCTTTCTTCTGATATCTCAATTCCCTGCTCATTTGCTTGGTTATTTTGTGTACACTTTGTGACATGTACACGTGTATTTTGAAAATTGACCAATATATGTGAAGAAGTTGTACAAGAGTAGGTGGACAAAATACATAATAAAAGAGATCAAGTTAAACTGAATATGGTGTACATGAAAATAGGTGTACACATGGGTTATGCATTTTGTAAAACCTTTGTAATATAAAACCACAATTTTGATGTGCAACAAGCATATTTTAAACATATGTATACATAAATAAAATATAATATTGTACATAATTACGATTGTACACATGTACATAACCACAAATGTACACATGTGTAAACGACCACGATTGTACACATTTACACACATGTACACATGTACGTAGTCTATTTCATAGTGGACATATGTACATCAATTTCAAAGCATACTTGTGTACACTACATGTGGTCTTTATATATAAACAAACCACCACAATTGCATACAAGATCACAATTAAAACAAAACTATAATAAGAATTATAACTTGTCTACATCTAGTGTACATGTGATTATTTATAAGAATCATAACTTGTGTTGTGTACAAAGGACTAATGTACATCTGATTTTCTATAAAACATTCTACATGTGGACATGTGATTTTTATAAAAGAATTCGTGTACATGCTCTGGATCAGCGTCACTTCTACAAGAACAAGGCCACCAAATGTAGACAATGATATTGAACCCATCCAGTCTGTAACATGTGTACATCTATCAAACAAAACTTAAGTCTAAAACGTGAGTACAGTACCATATATAATAGTGTACATACACGTTATTATCCATATGTACACCTATGAATGTGTACATGTCTTGTTCATAAACTTGGTACATTTTTGTTAAACAATGTGTACACGTTTTTACCCATGTGTACACATTATTTTCAACTTTTTAATGAGGGCATTTTGGTAAATATGTCTTCGTCTTTCCTAGATTTTTAGGGTTTTCTGAAACAGATTTGCGGCCGCCACTGATTTCTTTCTCATAATCTTCTATTCTTATACATTTTATCTTCAAGCTTATAAAAATTTCGTTCAAATCCCTATATCAAACTACTAACTCAGAAAGTTTAATTTTTTTTGTATTCTCCTGACTTCATGGCCGAATTGAACTAAAACACCACAGTCAAACGCCATAACAACTTCAGATGGGCACGACGGTGAAGATGAGTGCAGCAGAGTGATTCAGAGGTGATTTATCGACGATGACTGAGGCAGCAACAAGGAGACCTCGAGTTCAATGTCTGGGTTGCAATTTTTTTTTATTTACAGTGACATCACATAAGATTTTGAGCAAGAACAAAGAGTTTGGTGGTGGTGTTTGGTGCTCATGACCAGAACCTAATTTTCAGAAACCTAACCAATTAAAAAATTAATTAATTACTCTAACTAAATATGATGTCTATGGTTACATTTTTAAAAGGACAAGTTAAATCTTTTCACTACAAAACTGTTATACGAGTGGTAACTGCCTTTTAATGTAAAAGAAAACAGAAAACTACCTTGCGGTGTTAAAAACTCTATCTTATATAATAATAGTTGGCTTTTTTCACTCGGGGGAAAAATGCCATGTGTCACCTTCTTTTAATGATATTTTTATATTTATTATATTTAACAAATTTTAGTTTACTTAATAAAAAAATAAATGCTAATAAAAGTCTAAACATTAATTAAAACAATTTTTTAATTTCATTATTATTTTTTTAGTTTTCTATTTTAATAAAAAATTACAAATAATTTTAATATGTATTTTTACTTATGAACAAATGATATATATAAGTTAATGTGATTTTTTTTACAATGTACTTATGTTTAGTTTATTTTTTATTAATATCATATATGCATTTATATTGTAATGGTGATATATGGTTTATTATTTATAAAATATTTCTAAAGTTTTTCTAAAGATGATACTTGTCATAAAGTAGATTTTTTTTCTCTTCATAGAGGCAAAAGATGATACTTGTCATTCTATCATTTGTTGAAAGTGTTTTAGGTCCAATTATAAAAATCTTTTATTTTATTTGAATTTTTATTGATTTTCACAAATGATATAATTTTTAATAAATATTTTGAGTCCAGTAATTTAAAAAAAAAAACTTTCTCACTTTCAATTTATTCTTCAAGATGGATGACAACTTTCATATCTCTAAATATGAAATATCTAAATAAATATCCTTGATTCTTAAAATCTATTTGCTCGATTTTAAATTCAATATTCTTAATTCTTAGATCTATTTTCATTTTGAAATACTGATTTCCAAAAGATTTCCATAAAATAAGAGTTTAAAAGAAAGAAAAAGCTTCAACAAGAGTCAGACCAAAACGAAGAAAAACTGAATTACACAATAATTCTAAAACCGAAAGTAAAAAAAAAAAAACAAAAAGACAATTAAAATCATTTTGAAATCAACATCCTTGATTCTTAAATCTATTTTCTCTATTTTAAAATCATATGGTTTATTAAGATTTGGATATCCTTGATTTTCGTAAAAAGCTATTTTCATTTTGAAATCAATATCTTTGATTCTTAAATCTATTTGCTCGATTTTAAATCATATGATTTATCAAAGATTTCTAAATCCAAATGTTTTTCTAAATCCATTAAAATAGTGGAATCAATAACCCCCACGAAAGGTTAACAAATGTTTACTATAATTATTCAAGAATCAAAATTGTATTAATTATCAAAATGTCATGCAAGCATATGTAATGTATGTAAACTTACAAAAAGTTCAGTATATAATCTTCTTTAAAACTATCAAGTATTATACACTCAGTGTAGTAGCATTATTGTAGTTATGAATGATTATACTACAAAATTTAATATACACTACTTTAATATACGATTGTTGGCAAAAATAAATATACAATTGTTTTTTTTCAAAAAAGTTTTAAAATTTTAAACAAAACTAAGAAATATAAAGTTATATAAATTTGAATTATCAGGTTTGATATTTTATAGTTTTTTGTTCAGTAAACTGGAGAAAAATATTACCCTCTTCAACATCAAAAACAAAATTTTATTAAAAAATATTATAATAGACATTGTCAAAATTTTGAAGATTAAAACAATTACCTATACAAAGACATTATTAAATACATCAGTTTGTCAAAAAGTAGTTCATCAAACAATAACCAAACAATCTGATCTAGACATTACAGTTTTTGATTAAATATCATGTAAATTTATTTAAAATCTTAGCATAATTTAAACAGAAACATATAACATCTATTGTCAATATTAGTTCGTTTATAATTTAATAATTTAAACTTCATTTTATGATTTATATTTTTAAAAATCGATATATAGATGTTATATATATTCAAAATTAATATAATAAATTAAATTAAATTAAACTAAAATTTATATAAGAAAACCCGGGCGTAGTCCAGGAAAACCACTAATTTTAACTATAACTAGCGTTATTTACACTTGAACTACTTCGGTTGCCTAGTGTGAATATTTTATATTTTCTAATAAATTATTAGGTTAATGGGCCAACAAAGATTTTAGTTTGGAGCCCTGTCAAAATGACGGCCGAATCTGACACAATTTTTTATTTCCTATACATTATTTACCAAATGTGTTGTTTGGATGTCATCATCAATTCATCATAGTCTATCTAGTAAAAAATGACGACATACTCATTTAAATGATGACATAGATCTTTATATAATTATGACATGCTAATTATAACTATTTTACAAAATTCAGTTAAAGAAATTCAAATATCAATATTAATGATATAATTATTACCATAACTAAAATATAAAATAAATAATATAAATATGAGATTGAATTAGTATTAAACTTACACTTTGAACAAGTTAATATAAAAGCAACTAAATGTATTTATTATTTTTAGAATTTATATATTTTTAATGTTTATAAATTTTTTTTATCCAAATATGGAAAAATTATAAAATGTATTTTACTCTTAAATTTAAATCCCATAAATAAATTGTTTTATGTACTGTAACTAAAATAAGTGTTTTATATTTTAGCATTTATAATATGTTGTATTTTGCAAATAATTGTTTCTGGAAAATTATGTGTTTCAAATTTTCTAAAGTTGATCTATCTTAACAAAAATATATATATATTAAGAAATATATTACTTTTTGTAAATTTCATTAGCATTTACTTTTTGTAAAGTTCATTAGCATATTCTTTAAAAATAAAATACTGCAGTTAAAAATTTATTATAAGATATAAAGATTATAGTAACATGGATAATTTATTTTAGATATTTGACAAGTTTTTTAAAATATTGTAATAATCTAAAATCACCTTATTTTAATGATAAAAAAATTATAATTATTTTAAATTAATTTATTTTAAATTCCAAAACAAAGACAATAGTATTAATAATGTATATATTTAAAATATTTAAAACTATATTTAAATATATTATTCAATGTAAAGATAAAATTAATCAATCTTCTAAATTACTAAATCTATTGAAATTTAATTTAATTTAAAATTTTATTTAAGAACATGGTGCAGAGGTGGTATATATAGGAAACGTAAGCACTACCCTAAATCACACAACAACTATCGCCTCTGCTCCCAAAGATGGGTTTTGTTAGAATCGCTTCCTTTCTCTTTGTGATCATATTTCTCATTAACGGCGGTTCTTCCACCACCTTCACCGTCGTTAACCAATGCAACAACACCGTTTGGCCAGGACTTCTCTCTGGCGCCAGTAAAACAGCTCCCTTGCCCACTACCGGTTTCTCCTTAAACTCGTCCGAGTCACGAGTCATCTCCATACCTGCTTTCTGGTCCGGCCGCATATGGGCTCGTACGCTCTGCAACCAAAACGCCACCACCGGGAAATTCACATGCGTCACAGGCGACTGCGGCTCATCCCAAATTGAATGCTCAGGCGCCGGAGGCATTCCTCCAGCTACACTAGCCGAGTTCACACTCAACGGCGCAGGAAATCTTGATTTCTACGACGTCAGCCTCGTCGACGGTTACAACGTCCCGATGACGATCGTTCCTCACGGCGGAGCATCCGGAGTCGGTAAATGCATGGCCACGGGTTGCGCGGCGGATCTCAACGGAGCTTGTCCTGCTCAGCTAAAAGTAACTTTGGAAGACGCAGATGGAGTGGCTGTGGCGTGTAAGAGCGCTTGTGAAGCATTTGGAACACCGGAGTATTGCTGCACCGGTGCGTTTGGAACGCCGGACACGTGTAAGGCGAGTGAGTACGCTGGTTTCTTTAAAAAAGCTTGTCATACGGCTTACAGTTACGCGTACGACGATGGCACAAGCACCTTTACATGTTCCGGGGCTGATTACGTCATCACTTTCTGTCCTCTTTGACAAAATCAATACCATAAAAGAGCATTGTTCTTTTTTGATGAATTGATTTATGTTTTCTAAAATTACCCTTAATGATATGAACAAATTTTGATTTTCATTAATGACAATATAGTGTTTTGATTTTTTTAATCTAAAATCAAGATAATAATAGATTTCACTAATGGACTAAATTCTTCTTCTAATTATTTATGAAGTTTTTTTCAAAAATAAACACATCAACTTTAATTGTTGTAATTAGAGCTAAATTTTTTGAATTTAGCCTACGGGTTCTGCCCTGTTTGACCCACTACGGAATAGTCGATCGATTTGAAAAATTTAAGTTGCGGGGACGGATCAAGTGTATTTTACGAGGGATAGGTACATATTGTTCTAATTTTAGTTGTGGGTATACGATAATACGCAAAGATAGAATTTTTTAAAGTTTATTTTTTCAAAAAATATACTAAATTTTGTTAAAAATAATTATATTTTTTAAATATTAAAATTTAAGTAAAATATACTATTTAATATTATTTTTATGAAAAAATGAAAAAATTAATTATTTTTACCAAATAATAATTATCCGCGAATCTCGCAGATTACCCACAAGTGGGGTGAATGCGGATAAAATAGATTTTATTTGTGGGTCTGGCGGGTTGGACGGGGCGAGTTGACCCGCTTCCCAGCAGCATATGGTGTTAATTGATATTATTTTTCCAAAATAAAACTACACAGTTACATACAATACATTTACATAGATATTTATGATAACAAGAAATTAAAATCTGCATTAATTTTTAAAAGTTATATTAGATAGTAACAACCTTACTAGATAGTATTCAACCTTTGAAAATATATATTTACAATTACAATTTAAATTGTACCTTATGGATGTGAATGGGTCTTTAAAGCATTTATCATTTAGATTTAGAATTATTTACTAAAGTTCCATAAAGTAAAAAATATAAAATCTATATATCTGATAATATTAAATTGTCATTGTAAATATATGTTTTAATTGTAATTGTATATATATATTTTCAAAGGAAATCTCACACAATAGCATTTGTTCACTTATAATCATAGAGTAGAAAATATATATTAACCACCTTTGCAAAGCATATTGCGATTGATTTATTAGATAGACATTATATTTATTTTGATAATGTACCAAAACCAACAAAATAGGAAAGGTTAAGATTTTATAGCTGTTTGTTTGAATATTCTGTCCACTGCATTATTCATTTGTTCCCAAATTCAAAGGAAAATGAAGATTTTATAAAAATATTAGCTGATTTAAACGTTATTGTTGGTATATGTATTTGATTTTTTTAATTCTAGATATTTTCAATTAAACTAAATAAGGTTTTTCCATTAATCATTTTCAACTAAACTAAATAAAATTTTTACATTAATTATTAATACTAGAGATTTTAGTATGATTTTTTTCATATATTTAAATTAAGTTTAGATTATTTTATTTGAGTATATATTTTATACTTAGATTAATTACACTATATAAAGTATCAAGCAACTTTATAATTTTATTTCATTTGGTGACTACAATTGTAAAACTGTTGAAATTCAAAAAATAAATTCATTATGAAAAAAACATGTTTAGTTTAGTATTATGCGAAATAATCATTTTATTTTACTATAATAAATAAAAATCATAAAAAAATAAAAAGAAATAGCACCTACACACATTAAAGTATTTATGTCAAAAAAATTTAAATTAGTAGAAAATGCAAAATATTAATTTACTATAGAAACGGAATTGGATTTTAAATTTTTTGATTTCTTACTAGATAGTATTCAACCTTTGGAAATATATATTTACAATTACAATTTAAATTGTACCTTATGGATGTGAATGGGTCTTTAAAGCATTTATCATTTAGATTTATAATTATTTACTAAAGTTCCAAAAAGTAAAAAATATAAAATCTATATATCTGATAATATTAAATTGTCATTGTAAATATATGTTTTAATTGTAATTGTATATATATATTTTCAAAGGAAATCTCACACAATAGCATTTGTTCACTTATAATCATAGAGTAGAAAATATATATTAACCAATCTTTGCAAAGCATATTGCGATTGATTTATTAGATAGACATTATATTTATTGTGATATTGTACCAAAACCAATAAAATAGGAAAGGTTAAGATTTTATAGCTGTTTGTTTGAATATTCTGTCCACTGCATTATTCATTTGTTCCCAAATTCAAAGGAAAATGAAGATTTTATAAAAATATTAGATGATTTAAACGTTATTGTTGGTATATGTATTTGATTTTTTAATTCTAGATATTTTCAATTAAACTAAATAAGGTTTTTCCATTAATCATTTT